TTACAACCTGTAAGTTTATAATTATTACCATCTATAAAATGTATATCCTTCCAAAAATTTTCTCTTTTTCTCCTATGTTTCTTCATATTCTAATTTTATTATTATTGTTATCTTTGAGATAGAATAAAATCAATACAGTTTCAGAACATTGGCAATGTTTGAAGAGTGTTTTGATAGTGCATATTTTTTTTGATTTACCTTTGATTTTTTCATTTCATCCAATTGCAACATTTTTTGGATTGGATGTATCAGTTGTACCTTTTCCTCATTGGCAAAAAATGGCATATCAAGTTGCTATTTTTTTTGTATTTGAGGACTCTTTTCACTATTGGTTCCATCGTCTTTTACATTATGGTTCATTTTACAAATATATTCATAAACAACATCATGAATATTCTGCACCTTTTGGCTTAGTAAGTAGAGATGTGGTTTTTTTAGGAGTTAAATTATTTATTTATTTACTTGCTGATTAATTGATTAATTGATTTAGACAGCAGAATATGCGCATCCTATAGAGGTAATGATTTTAGGTACTGGTACAATTGGTGGACCACTTATATGGGTCTCAATAACTCATGACCTTCACCTAGTCACTATGTTCATCTGGATCACCTTACGGTTATTGCAAGCAATAGATGCACATTCTGGCTATGGTAAATATAATCATATATTTGTTTCTTTTAAAATAAATTAATAAATTTACTAATTTATATGTGTAAACAGATTTTCCATGGTCACTTCGAAATTTCCTTCCTTTCTGGGCAGGTTCAGAACATCATGATTATCATCATATGGCATTTGTCAATTGCTTCTCAACATCATTCAGATGGTGGGATTATTTAATGGGAACTGATCTAAAATATAGGGCTTATAAAAAGAAACGAGTAGAAGAAGAAATGAAAGATAAGGTTGTTACATCTTCCATCACCACCACCACTTCTTCAAACAAACAAAAAATCAATTGATTCATTGTATGATGTAATATTAAGAAAAATTCAAATTTAGAAAATAAATAATAAATCATATATCATTATTACTATCATATATATTTTTTAATAACAAAAATTACAAAAATTGCAAATATGCAAATCCAACTTAAAACATATAAAACTAAATCTAAACCATAGAAGGGAAAAAAGGACAGACAGGCCTCTAATAATGGCACTGTAGTAATGACTTTATTTGTTTTAGGGAGATGAAATAAATACCTTCTTTGTCATTAATAAAAGTTTGTTCAACTATTTTAATCATCAGATCATCATCACCACAAAGTATATATTCGATGCAACGTCAACTGAATCATTTTTTAATTGATCTATTTTAGGCACAGAAACTGCATCTATCAATCCCCCTATTATGGTAGTCAGTTATCATGTGTTACTACATCTTGTGATGATTTTGGTAATTATGTCACTTGAAAATAAATACCATAGTAATAGTAATTTATTCACATTCTGATATGAAAAGCATTTTGACATAAAAAGGGCTCTTACAAAAAAATTTTCACATGACAAGAAAATGATTGGATATCATGTTTGCATGATAAATGAATTTATTTATCCATCTGCAATTTTTTGTGTGCATCCTTCCTTTTTTTGAATATAAATATATAATGTTTTAAATAGACATTTTAATCTAATATCTTCTGCACTTTATTTAATAAAAGGAATAAATTACAAATGAGTAGATATACTTAATATTGAAGATATATTGTCATTCTTTCCTGAACTTGTTCCTATTGATAATTTTAAGGTATTTTAATTATTATTATTATTATTATTATTACTATAAATTAAAATAAATAACAAGATTATGATAATTATGATTTCTGATTTTTTATAATAGAGCAAAATATCAGCACTTAAAATAGAAGGCAGCAACAAATAGTAGCAAAAAATAAAAATCAATTGCAATTATTTGAAGATGAGATGAAGACTGACAGTTGTTGTTGATATCGTAATTGTAGTTGATCTGTTTTTCATAATCTATTTTCTTACAAATTTTAGAAACACACTTGATTTTACAATACCTGATGAAATAACAATATAAGTATGATGATAATATCTTCTTACTAAAATCATTTTGCACAAGGTATAATTTGCTCTTCTGTAAATGTGAAATAATGAATCAGGTTTGCATTCTAAATTAATAATAATAGATAATAAATATTAATAATTAATTATTAAAATATAATTAATTTTTAGATTAATTATTTCCAAATTGCCAAATCTTATATATTTCATTCCAATTCCCGATTCCAATTCAAAACACTAACCTATTCATCATGATTAAGCCGCAGCAGTAATGGAGGGAGTACTTATAATCAATAGTTTATAATAAATGTTGTTCTGCGTTGAGAGTTTCATCTTTATGTAGCCATTTTCAAAAATAATGTAATTACTGATGGATGGAGCCTTAACATCTTCATATTTGGCAAAAATAAAAAGTGCAGTAATGCTTAGAAGTTTTGATTTACCATGGAGGCTATACAGGCTGATGAGACCTATCAACTAAGTTGACTGTTAAGAATGTAATAAACGAAATTTATAATGAAATTCAACAAGTCAGTTGTCCTCTTAAATTTTGGTTGGTTTTCCATATAATTATGCTTTGGCATTGTTTCATTTTATCAATCACATAATGTGAAGAGAAATTATTATCCCTTAATATATGATTAATAATAATATTATTATTATTTAACCTTCCTCCAGAAAAAATAGATAAATTATACTCTTAAAACTTTCAAATATCTACTGCATCCATCATAGGATCATGCATTTATGTGAGGTCAATATCATCCCATTCTTGAGCTCTTGTTTTCTTTGCAAGGATCTTTTCTGATCCAGCTTCATAAAGTTCAGATTCAATAGTTGTATATAATACCAGATTAATAACAATATTAGGTTTGTTTTTTAACTATACTATCATTATTACTGATTTGTTGATTTTTTAATTGTTTTTTTTTAACAAGAAAAGCCCATGATTAACATTTATTATAATGTGTTTTTTTTTTTCAAAAATAACTAAAGCTTGGACTAATGGCTTCTAATATTGCTCTATAACACTTGTTCATATAATGCTTCTTCTCTACCTGTTTGTTGCTTTCTTTTTTTTTTAAAAAAAAAGATAGTGCTTGAACTAGTGATTTCTAACATTGCTCTGATAACACTTATTTACGTTTGCTAGTGTCAATAGTGCAGATGTCCAGATTTTAATATTAATTATTAAGTATAATCACGAATTTGTGTTACTGTTTTTTTAGAAATAAATAAAACTGCTCAATTAAAGCTTTCAATGGAATATTCTCTGCACAAAGTTACGACTATTCAAAAAATGGTGTAATTATTTTCCCACATGTTGCTTGATTGATGGTTCAATAAGTGTAAAATACTCTAATCTTTCATATGAATATTACTTTATGAGGATGTTGGTCAATAAGTTTTAGTTACATCATTGTATCATCAGGGGAATCTTGGTCTGACTAATTATTAGCCTTATGTACATGAGGAATGTGAGAATGACTATAGTTTTTGCTCTCAATATCCTGTCATTAATTGATTGATTGCTTGTGCTCCAAGTGATATACATGTTGTTTTTTATTTTCATACCTGCAATTACAAAATATTAATAACAACTTTCCTATCAACTAGGCCAGTTAGTCTCAACCAAACTAGGTGGAGGGTAAGCACAATGCCATTATCATTTTCTTCATGTCTACTTTCTTGAGAAATGTTGAAACACACGTAAAAATAATAAAAACCCCCTTGGAAGGAAACATCCAAAATATACATTCACGTGATCATAGTACTGAACATCAAACTTGTAGTATCCCTACACCAATCACAGAATTCATATTCTTCAATGAACAACTGCCAATTTAACTTCTGTGATAAAATCCTCCACTTTTTTCATAAAGACTTTTAAAACTTTTCACATAGTCTACATAGTAAGTGGATAATTAACTAATTATAATATAATAAATTGATTGGTTAATAATAATATCTTATATAACATTGTCAGCATTTAGTAATTAATATCTACTTTATATGTTCCAAATGAATCCTAATAACAATATTGAGTATAATTTGAAAATCCAATCAATTTTAATTTTAGAGATCAAGATTCCTTAGATATTGTATTCAAAATCCACAATAAAATTCCCATTCTATAACCAGTTAGTTCATTCCTTGGATTTTGTAGTCAAATATATTTGCCACACAATAATGTAATTAACTGAAGATTTTGCATAATTTATGAATATGAGATCGCCAATTTAATTTCTAAACATGCCGGTTGCGCGGAAAAATACACACGATTAATTATATTATGCAATATTACGCAGAATGCATAAAATCATGTCCCTGCTGGTTACTAAAATATGTACCCCTGAAGTTTTTTGAAAAAATTCAAATCAAAAATGTTTATAATATATATTCTTGTTTTGATATTAACGTTTTATTTAATATTTTTAATATTTCACTTAAAATCAAGTATTTCTCATAATTCTAATAAAAATAGAAATGAATTTTTTAATTATTTGAAAATTAACAATGATAAATTTACCACAAATAAACCCTTAATACTTGGATTCTTTCATCCATATTGGTAATTCATTCATAACAAATTTCAGAGCAACAATAATTGATATAATTAATTTAATTAATTAATCAATCAATTAATTAAACTTATATATATATATATACAGTAATTCTGGTGGTGGTGGTGAAAGGGTTTTGTGGACAACTATTCATAGTATCCAAGAAAAAAATTTGAATGTAATATGTGTTGTTTATACAGGAGACGTGGATGTGACAAAGAAAGAAATTTTATCAAAAGTTTTAGTATGTTTGTTGATCACAAAATAATAATAATAAAACAAACTAAAAAGAAAATGAAATAATATCATCGAGTTAAATTAAATTGTTAAACAATTCCTAGGAAAGATTTAATATTGAAATTAAATCAGAAATTGTTGAATTTATATTTTTACACAAAAGAGAATGGGTAGTAGATCGAAGGTAAAAAGTGATAGTAGTGGAATTAATAGTAATAATAATAATATGACAAGCTTAATATATTATGATAACAATTAATAAAACTATATTTCTTTGTATATTAAATTTGTTTTTTTTAGATATCCTAGATTCACATTACTAGGCCAAAGCATTGGTTCAATGGTTCTTGGATATGAGGCATTAAATAAACTTACACCAGATATATATTTTGGTATTTAATAATAATAATATAAGTGATTCATCTATTTATGAATAAATAATCAATAATAAATGTGATTTTTTAAGATACAATGGGTTATGCATTTACATATCCAATTGCAAAAAAATTATTTGGATGTAAAGTTTTGGCCTATGTACATTATCCAACTATAAGGTAAAAGTAATAAAAATTGTTTTGGATTAAAACTCCAATTTTTCCACATTTATTTACAATTTTTATATAGTTCAGACATGCTTGCTAAGGTACAAGAAAGAATACTTGGATTTAATAATGATAAAATAATAGCTAAAAGTAGATTATTTAGTGAGGCAAAATTATTGTAAGATTTGGTTAATTTAATAAATGAATGAGTGAATGAATGAGCGAATAATTCATTTCATTTCACACATTTATTTCCAAGATTATATATTTATCTAACTAATAATAAATTTATTGAATAATTTAGATATTATAAAATTTTTGCATATCTTTATTCATTATCTGGTTCATATGCAGATATAGTTATGGTCAATTCCACTTGGACAAAAGGTCACATAGATCAACTTTGGGGCATTAATAGCAATATAGTTTATCCACCATGTGATACAGATTCTTTATCTAAATTACCTTTGGATGGAAGAGAAAGAATTATAGTTAGTGTTGCACAATTTAGGTTAATTTCACAAATATTTATTTCAAATGCATTAATCAAAAAAATTTTTTAATTTATTAAATATTTATTATTTTAATTATAATTTTAGACCAGAAAAAGATCATGAACTTCAGTTAAAATCATTGCATTGTTTACTAAGAGATCATCAAGATTTTCGTGAAGGTTCAGGAAAAGTAAAGCTTGTATTAATTGGTAGCAGTCGTGATTTAGCTGATGAATCAAGAATAGAAGCATTAAAGGAAAAGGTCAAGAAACTTGGTATAGAAGTTAGTTAAGATTTCATCATCATCATTATTACTATTACTGTTACTATTATTTTTATTTTATTTTTAAAAAATAACATTTTTATGCTTAGGAAAATGTTAAATTTGAGGTGAATGCCGATTTCAATACACTTGTGGATTGGTTGTCAAAAGCTAAAGTTGGACTACATACAATGTGGAATGAACATTTTGGAATTGGTATTGTTGAATATATGGTAAACACTTTGATTTATTTTTAAAAAATCTTTTTAATCATCATCATCATCATCATCATCATCATCAATATTATTATTTTAGTAATAAAATAAAATATTATTAGGCTGCTGGAATCATACCCATTGCACATAATTCAGGTGGCCCTAAGATGGATATTGTCATTCCATATAATGATAAAACAACAGGTGGTAAATTTTTTTGTCCATGTTTATAAAAAAACCAATTATTAATACCTGTATTATATTTATTAGGATTTCTTGCAAATAATGAAGAAAATTTTGCAAAAGAGCTTTACAAAGTATTTTCTTTATCAGGGTTTGAATATAACAATATACAAATTAATGCTAGAGAATGTGCTGTAAAAAAATTTTCTGAACAAATATTTGAAAACTCAATTTTAACTATATTGAAACCTATCTTGGACCACTGATGTGTTATTTACTTGGAAATAAAAATGTTGATCTTTGTTGATAATCAATCACGTTTGATATAAAAATAACAATTAATATTAAATTGTTAAAACATGTCTTTTTTATGCAAAAAAAAATCTCTTGAATTATGTCAATAAAAGTAATAATTAATTTCTTGGATCCCATAAACAAAACTTTTAGTTTTATTGAACCTAATGTACTTGAAATTGGTAGAGATGAAGTACGTGTTGACGATAAAGCTCTTAATAAAATACAAGGTAGTTATTAATTCATTATTTTTTCGTTATTATCGATACTACAGGAATAATACTCAATTTTTATTAAAGCGAGATTTGAAATTAGGAATGGTAAAGTTTATGTTACATCGGTAAATTTCAATCTACTTTATTTTTATTTTATTTTATTCGACATATCTTTTACTTGATATATTTTTTTATTTGATTCATTTTTAAGCTTGGATCAAATGTAATGATGCGTGGATCAGAACAAATAAGAAAAAACAATAAAGTAGAAGTTCAACATGGCGAGACATTAACATTAATGCAGGTATAACCTAGTTTTTTTAAAAAAAATCATAAATGTTTTCAAAATATACGTATATATATATATTTATAAATTGATCGGATTGAGTAAATATTTTAGACAAAATATCCATTTACAGTGTCCATCTTATTACAATCAAAAGAACAAAGACAAAGCAAAGATAATTTCACAACCTCAAAGTCTTCTTCATTCTCAACGATTAAAGATGATGATTTGACGATTAAAGATGATCATTCTACATTTAAAGATGATATTACTCATTCATCACCATCATACCAATTTTCGATTGGGGGAGTATCTTCACAAGGATCTTCTGGATCACTTTCTAATGATGTTAATGTGGCAGAGAAAGATGAAAAAAGGAGAGGCAATGATAATAATGAAACATTCAACAATATTGATGATGTTGATGATGTTGATATAGTTGTTGATGATGATGACGATGATGATGACAATGATGATGATGATGATGGGCATACAAGTGATGAAGGAATTTTAAGCAAACAGTATAAAAAAAATTTTATCGATAATGACAGCAACGATGATGGCAATGATGATGATAACAATGATAACGATGGATTTTATATTTCGGATGAATCATCATACTTGGGTAGTTCTTGTAAATCATCACCATCATCATCACCCGAGCGTGAAAGTGAGGACGAAATAAAGGCAGTGACAGCAATAGTAAAAAATGAAAATTTTGATGGAAATAAAATTAAAAAAAAGAAATCCTCTGATACACCAAAGGTATTAAAACGAAAAGTTATAGAAAACGAGGGTGGGAAGAAAGAAGAAGAAAAAGATAACAACAATAATCATGAGGAGAATCATAATTGTAACGTTGATCATAATGTTGATGAAACAATCAATAATGAAGCTAGAGCAAGGGGAAGGTCTAGAGGAAGACCTAGAGGAAGACCTAGAGGAAGACCAAGAGGAAAAAATGCCACATCATCAATAGATCAATAAATCAAGAAAATCAAGAAAATAACAAAGAAAGAAAAATTTTAGTAAAGGTAGATATGGATAAGGATTATGGTAATTGACAATAAAAAACAACAACCAAATATTAACAAATATCCATTCACTTTTTTATTTATAAATTATATAAACACATACATACATACATACATATCTATTATATATATGAATTAAAAAATTATATTATTAAAAAATCATCAATTAAATAAATCAAATTATAAATTATGATTATAATAAAAATAAATAATTAATATTATAAAAAAGTTTTTATTTATTTTTTTATTTTATTTAGTCATCATCATTTTAACGAATTCTTCATAATTGATTTGACCGTCACCATCAACATCAGCTTCACGAATCTAGAAAAAAAAAATCAAATCACACATTAATACTATATAAATAATAAAACAATAATCATATTATCATAAATTTACCATTTCATCTACTTCTTGTTCAGACAATTTTTCACCAAGATTAGTCATAACATGTCTTAATTCAGCTGCAGAAATAAATCCATTACCATCTTTATCAAATACTTTGAATGCTTCTTTTATCTCTTCTTCTGAATCAGTATCTTTCATTTTTCTTGCCATCATGGTTAAAAATTCCGGAAAGTCGATTGTTCCATTTCCATCTGCATCAATTTCATTAATCATATCGTTTAATTCGGACTCTGTTGGGTTTTGCCCCAGAGACCTCATAACTGTGCCAAGTTCTTTTGTAGTGATAGTACCATCACTATCTTTATCAAACAAAGAAAAGGCTTCTTTAAATTCGGTAATTTGTTCTTCGCTTAATTGGTCAGCCTACATATTTTATTTATATTTATATCGTTTATATATAATATATATAATATATATATTAATTGTAAAATATTTTTTTCAGTTAAAATAACATACCATTTTTTTAAAGATTTAAAAAAAATATCAATAAACGTTTTTGGGTTTTTTAAAATATTAATATTTAAAAGAGGAAGAGAATGCTTTAAATAAAAAAAATAAAAATTTTCCCCAATTATTATTTGTATTGTAGGTATTATTGTAGGTTGGATGAGATTATATGGCGTCACACAATACATCAAGATATTGATGTCACAATTTTTAATTGTGGCTGGTGATGACTAATTTTCTTTATCTTGAGCCACAAAGTTTCTTTATCAATGTAACACTACTTCAAATTGTTTGATGCAGAAAAAACAAACAAGGAATATTATTCGTTGGTAAGAATGTATGTAATAGGGCGAAATGTATATCGGGGCAATGCCCGGTTTGGGAAAATTTTGTCGGAAATCTTCAAAAGATTATCGGGCCAAAATAAATAAGTAAAATTTACATGCGTGTAACAGGAAAATGGCTGATTCCCAAAATTTTATCGTTTCAACTGATCCTTTTGTTATAATTAATATTAATATTAATCCTTATTGTAAATGATCAACGGAAATTTCATTGACTTGAAGCAAAGAATAACTTCAGCCCTCGCTTGAAAAGCAGAGGAAAATAATAGATAATTAACATTCTAATAAAATAAAACTCTGCGATAGAATCATTATTTATTAAATAAAATTAATTGTTAAAAATAAGCATAAAAATAAAAACGTCTTTATTTTTTTTGTTTAAAGCATTTTGATAAAGCAACAAGTGTAGTACTTTGGTAAAAGGTAACAATTGTGGGACTTTGGTTAAAAGACCACGTTTTATTCGCTTTAGTGAGCAAGCAAAGGTTAAGACTAGTGGACGGACGTTAACAACAATTAATAAGGTGATTTACTTTAATGAGCAAGTAAAGGTTAGGACCAACGTTGATTAACTGGTGAGTGTTAAATGAAGTATCATCCAAAGGTTAATCGTAAATACTGGTAGTATTATTGTAATCGTGAACGTAAGGCTGTTAAACAAACTACTTGGTTGCAAGAGAGTTTGCAATCGGCAAATAAATCGATCACAAGTGAATAAGAAGAAGCCTTTGAGCTTTGTAAAAATGCCATTTTATTTATTTACAGTTATCTGGTACCGTCAAGTGTGTGCAAGGAAGAGGCAATAATCGAGAACCAAAGTAATTCGCAAACTAGTTAATTGACAAGCACCGAATTATTGTGAGTTGTTTGCAATCTTCATAAGTTCTTTCTTTAATTACTCGAATACTTAATAATAATGAAATGTTATTCATCTTCAACATTTTAGAGAAAAGAGTTACAATCAAGATTATTTAATGAAATATTACTTGCATAACTTTTAAGCTTTTATATTTAGCAATCTAATCACCTAAGATTCTACTTTTGTGTATCACTTGCTACTACTAATACTACTGATAACGATATTACCATTGATATTATTATTATTTTCGCGAATTTCCTTATGTTTATTTTTAGCAAATTCATAAAGCTCTCTACTGCTCGTGTTGCTTACTTGGGTGTTTTTTTTTATAGTAAAATCATTTATTTTAGATAGATATGGTTTATGGTTTATTATAAATAGAGGCATTAAAATTTCTTTTATGTTTTGTTCCTACGATGATAAATGTAACTAATCTAATAACGATTAAATAATACAAGCAAGCAACTATAATGATACCAGGAAAAGGTGACAATAGATATAAAGGTGGTATATCGTCATCACCATTGATGTGATAAATTATTTTTAATAGAATTAGGTTTTTCTAATCTGTTTATAGAGACAATACCTTTTGTATAAAATTTCAATCGAGAGCGGGATGGGACTTGATGAATAAATAGTTGGATAAATTTATTATATAACAATATGTTAAAAATATATAGATCAAAAGATCAAATATAATTTATTCAAATATGACAATGAAATAAATTTTTAGAGCGTTGTGGACTGTCAATTCATCTACGTATATATCATTGTTTATCGCGATAACATTATATTTAGATGTTTCAGCTCATTTTTTTTTGTTCGAAAGGTAAAGTTACTTTCATATGGTGCTATTAGAACTCTCGGAGGATATTTAGTTGCATTCTCTCCAAATCGCGCACATCGTCCAGTCCTTATAATAAAATAATAATAATTAATATGCGTGTGTGTGAGAAAGAGAGAACAACAGTAGATAAAAAAATAATTTACCAACACATGATTTATTTTTGCACTGTATTAAAAGGAGGTAGATCCACACCACCATCACCAGGGTCCATCCAACCTGTAAATTAAATGTGAGCATTTACGTCATTATTGTTAATAACAGATACAGACTTGGTAACTTTCGCGAGCTGTACAAAGTACTTCCAGTTCTCCATTTTTAATCCTAGTGGCAGCACTTTATTCCATAGGACCCCTGATAAACTTAATTTTCAAAAAGCAGCTCATTTGCAATATTGAAAGTCTTGGCATTTAATTTTAAAAGGTTGTCTTAAAATGTTATGATATTTGTTTTTAAAAGTAAACATCGGATCGTTTCACAAGCGTTTCATATAAGAATATTTAAAAAATGAGTTAATTATAAAACTAATAATAAT